TATATTCTACAATGCTTCTAACTATAAAGACAAGCCACAAATTTAATAAAACAGTTCGATTCAATTCGATAAAACGGTTTTAGTAGCAATTTTGGTATGACAATGTATTATTTTAATAAATTAATCTCAAAATTATTTAAAATTAAACAATACTCGGTGACAAACTTTCTTTACTATTAGAAATTATTCTGGAGTTTAATTGTTAAAAATAATAAATTTGCGAGAGCGGATTTTCAACTAGCTCTCTTGCTTACGCAATTAATCATTGTCAAGAATGAGACAGCGTACTGTACTACACATTCAGTACTAAGCAAATACAGTTCAACTAACTGTAATACGTCCACGCCACAATCACACACAGGTGTACTGTGAAGGATATAATTACATGATAATACCAAAGTATGCGAACAAACAGCATCACTACTAATCTAACCCAGGGCAGCCTGTCAGCAACGCGATCTTCCTTGCCAACACTATAAGTAGAACAGTTCAACGGGCATAGTAACGACAGTGAGACGGTTCCCTCTTAGTCGCATGCGCGATACTTTTTACCCCTAGAACTATGGAGGTTAGAGAATAGGATAACGATCGCTACGTGCTAAAGCATAGCCCGCCTGTCCCTGAAAATTTGTAGAATTTATAGCCGCGCTACCGTCGGTAAGTAGTTTCTGCAAGTAATTTTTTTAATTATTGACAAAAAGAAACATTAAAAATGGTGAAATAATATAAAAATAATAATGATAATAATAAATCAATAACCAGTCATCCGGTACCCGTTTTAATTCCCAACATAAATTAAACAAGGTGTACAGCAGGACTGGCACCACTCCCTCTCCAGCCCTTAGCATCTCGAGTGATACTCTATTATATCCAGCTGCCTTACCTGCTTTCATGCTTTTCATTGCTTTCATTATTTCATCTACACTTATCTCCATACCCCTTTCCACTTCCTTTGGAATTTCTAGTTCATTCAATTCAGACGACTCTTCACTCATAAACACGCTTTCAAAGTATTCCTTCCATCTATTTAAATTCGAAACTTCATCATTCAGGATACATCCGTTCTCGTCTCTTATAGCGTTAATTATAGGCTGTTTTGTATTTCCCCCTGGCGGTTTTTACGAGTTTCCAGAACATTTTTATATTAGCCTGGAAATGATCAGATATCCTTCTATCATTCTTATCCGTTCTTTCTTTCTTTTTCCTTTTAACTACTTCTTTTACTCTCTTATTTAGACGTCTAAATTCTGCCTTTTTTCTTTCAATCTCATCATTCATACCACCATAATTACCAGCTTTGGTTGCTACTAAATCTAACTTTCTTCTTTGCTGCAACTTCCACCCGTACCTCATCATCCCATCACACGTATTACTTTATAATTATTAATTATAATTACATTACTTTCATAATGCTGTGTTAGTCCCTACTTTAATGTATGGTAGTGAAAGCTGGGTGTGGCAGAAGAAGCACGAAAGTAAAATAAATGCTGTAGAAATGCGGTCTTTAAGGAGTATGCTAGGGTTGAATCTGAATGACAGGGTGAGAAATTGCGTGATAAGAGATAAATGTGGTATGCAAGATGATATTGTGACCAGGATTAAGAAAGGAATGCTTCGGTGGTTTGGTCATGGAGAAAGAATGAATGAGGAAAGAGTGACAAAGAAGGGATGCCCTAGAAGAAATTTTATCGACCAAATTGGTGATATTTTGAAAATGGGCCACGTTAGAAGTACCCTTAATCGACGAACATGTATGCGTAGAAAAAAAACTCATTTAAAAAATCAATTTTAATTTGCAAATTGTATGTGGTTTTATTTCCTCTAACTCACACGAGTATCGGTAATGTGGGGTCTTTGACAATGCTCACTTACTCCTCGGCCAATGCAGAAATAATAAAACCACATACAATTTGCAAATTATTTTTTTTTCATTAAAATTAATTTTTTTAATGTGTTTTTTTTTTAAATTATTTCTATATGCTTGGATACTGATTCTGATAACGCAGTTAACGGGAACCACTGGGTTTTTGTTACATGTTGTATATATATAATAATTAAAATTATAAAAATATATTTTACGATTTATTCATTAATAAATATAATAATTTTGTTATTTCCTTTTTTTTTTTTTTCATTGATATTATAATCATTTCAAACTAGGGCACAACATCCCGCTTATTTTGTCCATATTTCTGGGACACTATTTTCTACAGCGATCGTTCTCCTGTTCTCTAACCTCCATGGCTAGAACGAGTAGTAGACTATAGTTCTACCTTCATTTGTTCGTATTCCCTTTTAGTTTTTACCCTCATTCCCAACAATATACTACTTTTGAAAACAAATATTTTATTTTTTATGTGACTCAATGGTGTAATATTCCTCAACCCGCACTAAAATAACGTCACGAACTCCTTGCGGCGTTATTAAATTTGCTCAGCTGTAAAGCGTTGAAGGAAAGAAACAAAGTTTATTTCATGCTTATTACACAAAGTTATTTCGAAGACATGTAAGGTTGGTAGACCGCATTGGGGCAACGCAGCGGACAAATCCTTGACCTAAAAACCCCTCAGAAATTAGGGGAGGATTGTGGTCTGTCCAGTGGGACATACAGAGTTATTTTATCAAAGATATTATACGTAGTCAAATATTAAACTTAAGTTCAAATATATAAATAATGGTGTACCGTTTTTACAGTTTTTTGAAAAAACTAGTAATTAACGTTTCTTTTTTATTTGAAATTATTCCAAATTGAATGTGATATATGAGAAACAACGTTTTTGCTACGATCGACCTGGTAGTAAAAGCAGTGGAATTTAAACGATAAAAAGGACAAAATGTTTGAGATTTTTTTTTAATAATTTGTCATCTCCATTTGACTATATTACTTATTCCGAACTGAACCTTCTCTGCTTGGCCGGTTATTGCAATAAAATAGCCCTGTATATATACCGTAACTTTATCGCATTACGAAGAAAAAAAAATAAACTTCAAAAGAAGTATGTAAGAATATAAATAACTATATTGTCACCCCTGAGGACTAAGATGGAATGCCTCGTTTCCAGTAAAAAATGGTCTCCGTATCTCTACACTCGGAAAACAGCATCACCATAGGAAAAACAGCAACATTAAGCTGCTATTTTACGCTGGGATTTTGTGAGAGCGTGATCTTTCCCCGGTCGAGCTGACCTATTCGTGCTACAACCATAGTATAGCTGCAGAATGGCTCTACCACGTATAAAAAAACAAAGTAACAATTTACAAAGTATTAAAACTAACAAAGCATTAAAACATTACTAATATTAACAAAGCATTAAAACATTCATCATAATTAAATTGTTGTGATTTTTGGGAAACGGCTTAACCGATTTAAGTGATTTTTTGAATAAGTTATGCTTCGGGGGTGGTCCCTTATATATTTATAGAAAATAAGAAGAAAGAAAGAAAGGAAAAATAGGGGATAAAGATTTTAATATTAGGTACATAAACCACATTAGAGTTTGCCTGTAACTTGTGATGTTAGAACACTCAAAAGATTAACTTTAAAAATTCAACTTTGAAAATTAACTTTGAATAAACAAGTGATAAAATTAAAATTTCATACAACTGACTACAGTACTATAAATAAAATGAGAACATCATCAATGTAGTCGAAGTCGTTTAAATACGCATTATTAAGGATAACTCAAAAACAACTTATCAGATCTTAATCAAATATATATGGGACCACATGAGAAGTAGCAGCTTTAACTAAAATAAAGAATCATCAAAATCGGTTCTTCTATAGAGGTAACATAAAAAATACAGTCGTATTGAGAACCTCCTCTTTTTTGAAATCGGTTGAAAATATGAACCGAATTCAAAATTAAAAAAATTAAAATCATAATATCTTCATTCAATTTCAGCTTCAGAAATCGGTGCTAAGACCTTATATACTTTTTTGTAGAATAGAAATTCGATGAGACGGTAAAACGGCACGATCGTAAAGAGCCCAGACGCAGGCCAGCGGCTTTACGTGCTTTCCGAGGCACGGGGGTGAGAGACCACCCACTTCAGCCTTCAGGCTGTTACTGAGAATTTCTTAACGGAAAAACTCAATAACTGATTTGTTTGGCGCGATACGGAATTCGAACTCGGGATCTTCTGAACAGCAGTCGCGTTTAAAACCACAAGACCAATAGGTAGTCAATGTAACCCTCCGACCACACACTCGTCGAGTGACATGTGAAGTAGCAAGGAAAGCAGGCACAGACTGTATATATTTTTTTAGTTTTGTAGTGAGTTTTTACATTCAATAAAAAGTTTCATTTTCCCATAATCCATTTATATTATGACAAATAATAAAGAACACTTTAATATTTTCTAATATTTTAAACTGCTTTATATATGCATATATATGATTTTCAATTATTTGAATATTCAAAACAGAAAGAAATATATAAAATCCATCTTAAATTAAAAAAAGGGTCAACCAGAATAATATAAATAATTAGGAAATAGTTGGCTCTCTTGTGATTGTATGCACTATAACTTAATACCTTATATCATATTCTATACGTGGTAGAGCCACACTACTGCTATATTATGATTGTATGGTTGGGGCAGGACCACGCTCTCACAGTATACCAGCGTAATGCTGTTGTGTTTTGTATGATGAGTGTAGAGAACCGGAAACCCGTTGTACTGGAAACGAAGCATTCCATCTTAGTCCTCACGAGTGACAACGATGTCCATGGGTCACAGCATCCACTTACCATCAGGAGGACTGTATATATATAAACCCCCCCCAAACCCCTTGTTTTTTTTTATACACTTTTTTTTTTTTTTTTTTTTTTGTTCTTTTTTTTTTTTTTTTTTTTTTTGTAAAAATTTCTTTTTTTTATAAAAAAAACAATTTTAAGTGCTTTTTTTTTTTTATTATATATATATTATTATATATATATAATAATATATATATACTATCTTTAAACTACTTGATGATAAAACGTCTTTTAATCTTGCAGGTCGTGGCTGGCTCGAGACAATGGTAGAGCTGCCATCAGTAGTCGGAGAAGAGCCTACTGCCCCTGATGTGGTTAGTAAAATTATTTAATAACCTAAATACATTAAAAAGCGTTCAAAATTTGAATCCAAAGTCATGCTACCGAAATTTCTGAACGGTCCCACATAAAACACAATATATTATGTTAAAACCACCTTGTCCTACACCAGGAAGTACGTAAAAAAAGTTACAACTTACATACCACTGCTGGGCATAGGCCTCCTCCCATTTCTGGAAGGGTTATAAAATAATTGTAATTCTAGTGGCTCTACCACAGATTTAAACCCAGCTCCTACATGCGTAAAGTTATTTTACATTGTAGACCCACCATAATGATTTTACTCCTAAATATCTTAAATTAGATCGTAATTCACAAGTTTAAAAATACTTGATGATTATATTATATTATATACTTCATATTTCATAATTTTGTTACCATCCTACAAAAAGCCGAAAGGAATGGTAACAAGTACCTTGATCCGATGTAATTATCTCTCTTTTTCTGATTTTCGTTAAATGAGGAGGTAATCACCTTCGTGAACAATTATTTTGCAGAGAAAAACGCCGAGTACTATTTGGACGGTTTAGATAGATGGGAGCGTCACTGGAAAAGTGTGTAGAGTTACAAAAAGAGTATGTAGAGAAATATTTTTTAAAGGTTGTGAGTATTTGATTGTGTTTGTTTCTCAGGTGAATACGGTAACTAACTTTGTACAATTTACATAACAATAAACTTCAAGGTCTGTGCACAGTGAAAACATACAAGTTTTTTTTTTAAAGAATAAGGATAAAAAACGTGTACGCAGTCCGCCTGATGGTAAGTAGTAAGTATATATATATATAAAGTATTTTTTTTTTACAGGCCTCCCCTCATTTCTGAGATGACGTGGTAAATCAGCACTTAAAATTGCAATTAACAATTTCATTGGTGCCGGTGGGGATCGAACCCGGGTTACTCGCGTTCTGTTATATTTACAGCGAGCGTTAACCATCTGAGCTACCACGGCTTTATAATATCCATATGTATATATGTGGTAGAGCAATAACACCATAAATTCTTTGGTGTTTATTATTATCATTTTATGAAGAAAGCTTTTGGGAGTCAGCCAAGATTGACTGATTCGTTTTGCAGTTATCTGCATCGTAAACGATAATACGTTGCGTCACCGGCGACCTTCTACCTGTCAGAACGTATAACGTACATCATACGTTGTTTCAAAGAAATACGAGTATACTTGTAACTCGGGTATAATAACTCAGCTTACATTTGACCGATTTTTAACACGCATTTATTCAGTTCTTTATTGCCTGCCTCGGTGGTGTAGTACTTTGATCATGAGCCATGAGGTCCCGGGTGTCTCACGCCCGTACCTCGGAAAGTACGTATATCGTTGATCTTGCGCCTGATCTCTCTCCGGTTGTGTCGGCTTACCTTCCCATCGGACTATGAAAGTGAGAGAATAGAAATAGTAATAGTGTGTGCTTGCGCATACATTTGGGCACTATAATCCTGTTCAGCGCCGATGGCTTGTCACCGTTGAGGTTGGCTGAAAATGCTGGTGATAGTCGATTACACAAGGGAGTTGTGCGAGGAAGAAAACTTCTTGAATATCGCACATTAGTGGACCGTCAGTCATCCAGATGATAAGAATAGTATCTCGAGTTCTGTCGCGGTGTACGATGGTGATATTGAACTGAAATTAGTTCAAACAATTCGTCTGAGCACTACCCGTGGTAAATACGATGGAATACGCAAATAGTGCCGTGGTAGCTCACCAATGAAGTTGTGCTCGGCGGTGAAGGAAAACATCATGAGGAAACCTGCATGTCTGAGGAATTAGAAAAAAATTTTTTTCGAAGACATGTGAAGTTCGCCAACACGCATTGGGGCAGTGCGGCGGACACTTACTTGCCCTAAAACCCTCTCAGAAATGAGGGGCGGCCTGTGCCCAGCAGTGGGACTTATATAGGCTGTAACTTTACTTTTTAACTTTACGCAAAGAGATGTAACAACATCTCTTCGCAGCGCCAGTGAGTCAAGCCAACCAGAAAGTGCTCGTTCGATAGGTACGAACAAATTTCTATTCCGATTATTATTCACTTGGATCTGTATGTATGTATTTAACCTGTATGTTCGAAAGGCGACTTTATTCGATACGCCGGTTTGCTCGCGAGATAAAATGGCGGGAATTGCAAATTTTTTGCTAACTTGCAAATTTTGCTATATTTTCACTTTGAGACATTATTTATGGATAAAACTTACAGGTATTCTTATTGAATGTATAAACTATCGAATAAAATTATTTTTAGTTGCTAGAAATTGTAATAAAATTCATAAATTACCCTGTAGTAGTAGATACTTCCTAAAATTACTACAAATTTGAATTCTACACGTTTGTTTTTGGAGAAATCTATATGAAAATGTTTGGAAATATGTATATTTTTATGTTTTATGTGTTAAATGTATGTAGCCGCCATTAAATTTTGTAATAAAACAAAATTTGTAATTAGCGTGTTGGCAACCGCAGAATTTATATTTTTATTCGTTATTAAGAAGACACTGCTGCACATCTACTGATTTGTTCCTATGTCGCCTCTTACGACACCCACGAGATGATATTGTGTAGTCAATTATCTTACATCGCCATTACACGTTACATACACAATGTAGTATGTGTAAATTGATGTATGTAGTATGTGTAAATTGATGTATGTAGTATGTGTAAATTGATGTATGTAGTATGTGTAAATTGATGTATGTAGTATGTGTAAATTGATGTATGTAGTATGTGTAAATTGATGTATGTAGTATTTTATGATTCAATTTATAATTAATGATTTATTCACTACACACAATACGATACAAATATAAATAAAAACAACAAACAAAACAATCAACACAAATACATAAACCAATACATTTGGTTGCAATAACGAAGAGGTCTATTTTTCAACCGACTTCAAAAAAGGAAGAAGTTCTCAATTCGACTGAATTTTTTTATGTATGTTACCTCAGAACTCCTTTCTAGGTTAACCGAGTTTGATGATTCTTCTTTTTATTTGAAAGCTGGTGCTTCTCGCGTGTTGCCATATAAATTTGATTGAGATCTGGACCAGTAGTATGTGAGTTATTCTTAATAAGGCGTATTTATTTGATTTCGACTACATTGATGGCGTTCTTATTTTATTTATATTGAAGTCAGTTGTACAAAAATTTTAATTTTATCACTTGTTTTTTACCGGACGACATAATACTGTAGTGGTGTTTGTTAATAATTCACAGATCAGTTGTCTGACGTACGATATTTCTGCTACCATATTAGACTACAAAAATAAAGACGCTGCGCATACTTCAAATGACATACGTGTGTTGAAATAATGAACGAACGTGTCTGTTTCAATCTTTATTTTATTTATTTCAAGACATTCAGTATTATGAAGTAAAGCAAAAATGTCCATATATCCTTTTTAGTCTGCTATAGTTATAAATAAATTGCGCTTGTTTAGATATTGTAAGAGACATTTTAAGTTGATTATATATAATATGGCATAACATTTTACTAGTCAATAAAATACAGTATCTCTGATCTTGTTTTATTTTTGTACACCATTAATATTAGTGTACATTTTAAAGAAATTAATTGCCTATTAAGTTCGCAGTGCTGTGTGATGGTAGCGTAAGAGAAACCACCATTCACGTAAATAACCACACAAATAACCACGCAAATAACCACGCAAATAACCACGCAAATAACCACGCAAATAACCACACAAAAAACCACACAAATAACCACGCAAATAACCACGCAAATTACCACACAAATAACCACACAAATAACCACGCAAATAACCACACAAATAACCACACAAATAACCACGCAAATAACCACGCAAATAACCACACAAATAACCACGCATATAACCACACAAATAACCACACAAATAACCACACAAATAACCACGCAAATAACCACGCAAATAACAACACAAATAACCACGCAAATAACCACGCAAATAACCACACAAATAACCACGCAAATAACCACACAAATAACCACACAAATAACCACACAAATAACCACACAAATAACCACGCAAATAACCACACAAATAACCACGCAAATAACCACGCAAATAACCACACAAATAACCACGCAAATAACCACACAAATAACCACACAAATAACCACACAAATAACCACGCAAATAACCACACAAATAACCACACAAATAACCACACAAATAACCACACAAATAACCAAGGTAAAACCATGCTCCATTTATCACAAGAAGAAGCACTCATACACATTACACATATATGCAACCAGCAACATGATTTTAGGCGCATATGTACGACGGTCTGGTAGAAATAAAAAAGCGTGATTGCATATCAAGGAGTTGAGCATGGTTTTCGCATAATTTAAATGCACGAAACGCTCCGTCTTCTTTTTGGTCTCAGGTTACCATAGATAGTTAAAAAATGTAAAATATTAAAACAAAATTTAATAACCTATTACGAGTTTAAAATTATATTAGTTGTATTTAATACGTATAATATTTAATAGCAAAGATAATAAATAATATTCAAGTAATCCCTAGCTGTCTCTAAAGCCATTGACTTATATATGCTAAAGCGCATACTACATACACCCAAATGTGATTAAAATCTTGTGATTTAAATCTTGCCGTTTGTTTCCCAAATCTGCTGTACACGTGATAAAAATGTCAAATTGCAGGTATCTGTACATTTTATATTTTCAACCGACTTAAAAAAGGAGGAGGTTCTTAATTCGACTGTATTTTAAGCTATTGCATAGCTTCTATCGCGGGCCTTGAGCGCGGGGACCGAATCCAGAAATTCCGTAACGAAAAAAAACCTCACGTTCCCCATTCCGACGGGCACGGAGGTGTGGTGTTGAAAGCCGTGCATCCTCTAACGTCGTTTCAATTCGGCAGACTTCGGCACGTCGGAGGTGTTTGTGTGCGTGCGACTAGTCGTATGCGTGTACACTAGCTGCTAACTGAATGATAAA